AAGTCTTGACGCAGTACGCCAGCTTGAACAAACATAGGCATGAGGAAGCCTCCGATCAAAGCTGAACTTGCCTTGCATCGCAAGGCATACGCCTTGTAATTCACCAAGGAGGCGGCTAAGATACACCCATAGTTCACATCGTCGCCAAGCTCATCCTCCATTGGCTCGTCATTCTCCTTAGGATCACAAAGCAGATGCTTAACGCCTTGGAACAGGAAGCAAAGCTTGGTCTTGGTGACTGTGGGAGCCACAGGTCGTCCACTGAAGGTGTTGGCGATGAGTTTGAGCGTGTATCTCAGCACCGGACTCCTCACTCTCTTGATCTTCGCCGTATTCACCTTGTAATCATCATTGCTTATGATGTCCCACAGGTTGTTAGCTTGAGTGAAAGAGGGGAACTCCACTTGTTTAGCATCAGCCTTCAAACCGTAGGCTTGGCAAAGCTCTTGGATCGAGAGGTGATAAGCTTGACACGTGATCCTGAAGCTGATGTGGCTTTGGGAAGGAGTAGGCAGACTCGGGTTCTCATACGTGAACGCCAAGGTGGCTAGGAAATCGATTGTTGCCTCGAGATAGGTCGAGCAGTCCATCCTTGACAAGCACCGGAGTCCAATGTTCTTCAAAAGCTGATCAAAGTCTCCCAGGATCCCCATCTTAGCCAACAGACCTCTATCCGCGAACTTAGTGGGATCGAACCTCAGCCTCTCTAGCCTCTTCTTGGCTTGCTTTTCCTCTTTGGTCCATTTAACCCTCTCCTGAACCACCACTTCTTGACCATCTCCTTCTTGTGCGGTCTCTTCTCTCGTTCTTTTGGGAGCCATAGTACCTGAAACACAATTCTCAAGCAAGAGAATGAGCAAAGGCGGTGAATATTAAGAGAAAGACTATGCAAGAAAGAAAAACTTATAACTAATACCCTAGATTTTTGGGGAATTTATAAAAATCCTAGCAAGATAATAGAGAAACAAATCTAGAGATAGGATTAAATCTAGAACTTTTCCTAATATCTAGCTAGTTTTAAAAAATATTGTTAAACCTCCTAACATCTAGTATTCAAGCAAAGCAATAAAAAGGAAATTTTCCAAAAAAATTTGATCTATTAATCGAAAATACCTTTGCAGAGATTGAAAACAGATGTTGTTAGCCTTTAGGAAAAACAAATATCACTCTCTTTTGCTTAGAAAACTCGAAACACAAAAAATGAGAGAGTGTGTGTTTGCTTGAAAATATAAAGGCCAACAAAAATACAAAACCATGGGTAAAACTAGTGGTTTTCTGACAAAAGTGTGGTCAAAGCACAAATTTCATGGTCAAAGATTTCTGCCTTGACCACAATTTAAATTAAAAAATAGGAGGGGAAGAAGAAAAGAGGGAAAAGAAATTGTTACCTCGGCACAAGATCGAGTCCAATTGGTCGATCTGGGACTCGACCTCATGCCCATGTTGCTAGGATCGAGAGATTTGATCGATCAGGGACTCGACTCAACTTGCATCGAGTCTTAGATCGATTGTACCATCTCGTTCCTTGACTTTGGTCAACCAAGCATTGGTCCTTGGATCGAGCTACGTGATCAATTTGGGGGTCGATTTGGCTTAGATCGAGTTGGGGATCGAGTTGACTGATCGATCTGTCTTTGAAGGATTTTCTCGAGAGAAATTAGATCGGTCAATCCAGATTTGGACCGATCGATCCAAACTTCAACAATTTCCCGAGACATTTTAGATCGGTCGATCTAGATGGGACCGATCAATCCGAACTCATCTAGATCGACATTGTCTACTCGATCTCGTCTAGAACGACTGGTTCCTCTCGATTCACTAGCTCGATCTAGTATAGATCGATCTAGTATAGATCGAGCTAGGATAAGTCGATCTAGCACTCGATCTCTAGCCTTTAGTTAGCCTTTCTCGCCTCTTTTAGACTCCAAGATCACACCTAACAATCCATTATCCAATCACCTACACACATAAACATTAAAAGCGTAAAACTGAAGTAGAAATAAAGCAAAAATATATACATGATAGACATGGGAATGCCTCCCAAGTGCGCTTTCTTTAACGTCTTTAGCTAGACTTTACTTGGTTTAGGCCTGAGGGGGGTCTTGAAGAAGCACGGATGTGCTCTCCTTGCTGTAGCCATCCGCCAAGTAAGGCTTAACCTTGTGCCCGTTGACCGTGAAGGCATTTCCGCTCTTGCCAACCAATGTAACTGCTCCATAGGGTAGAACCTCTTTGATCTCAAACGGTCCACACCACATTGATTTGAGCTTGCCCGAGAAGAGCTTCAACCTCGAGTCGTAGTGTAGCACCAGACTGCCTTCTCTTAACTCCTTGTGAACAAGCTTCTTGTCGTGAACAGCCTTAGTCCGCTCCTTGTAGATCTTAGCACTGTCATATGCATCTAGCCGTAGCTCATCAAGCTCATGTAGCTGAATCAACCACTTCTCATGAGCTGTCTTGAGGTTGTAGTTGAGCTGCTTCACTGCCCATAGTGCCCTATGCTCCAACTCAACAGGAAGATGACACGCCTTGCCGTATAGGAGAGTGAAAGGAGTCGTGCCTATAGGGGTCTTGAAAGCGGTTCGGTAAGCCCACAAAGCATCGTCTAGTTTGACCGCCCAATCCTTTCTAGTAGCCCCAACTGTCCTCTCGAGTATAACCTTGATCTGCCTGTTAGAGACCTCTACTTGCCCACTCGTTTAAGGATGATAAGGTGTTGCTACCTTGTGCTTCACACCATACTTCCTCAAGAGGCTTTCAAACACCTTGTTGATAAAGTAGCTTCCACCGTCACTGATTACTACCTTGGGGACTCCAAACCGTGGGAAGATGATGGTCTTGAAGAGCTTGATCACCACCCTTGCATCATTTGTTGGGGAAGCTATAGCCTCAACCCACTTAGATACATAATCAACCGCCACTAAGATGAACTTGTTGTCGTAAGAAGATGGGAACGGTCCCATAAATCTATCCCCCAATCGTCAAAGACATCAACCTCAAAGATAGGAACCTGTGGCATCTCGTAACTCTTGGTAATGTTCCCTGCCCGTTGACAAGCTTCACAACTCTTGACAAACTCGTGAGCGTCCTTGAAGATAGATGGCCACCAGAAACCCGCTTGTAACACCTTTGTAGCAGTCTTGAAGGAAGCGAAATGACCACCATATGAAGAGTCATGGCAATGTAGAAGTATGTCTAGCTTCTTCACTTGTTACACATCTTCTATACAAGCTGTCCACTCCTCTTTTGTACAAGTATGGCTCATCCCAAAAGTAATGAGAAATGTCTCTCATGAACTTCTTCTTGTGGTAATGATCAAGGTGAGTAGGCTCCTCTCCACAAGCCAAGAAGTTTACTATATCCGCATACCAAGGTAAGTCTTCTTCCTTGAAACTCAAAACTTCTTCGAACTTGTCTTCAAGCTTCTCACATACCGCCGTGGTGATCATCATGAGCTGCTCTTCAGGAAGTGAATCGTCAAGTGGCAAAGCTTCATTGACTCTCATCCTTGAGAGGTGATCAGCAACACCATTCTCTATCCCCTTCTTGTCTTTTATCTCCATATCAAACTCTGGTAGAAGGAGAATCCACCTTAAGAGCCTCGGTTTAGTGTCTTTCTTGGAATAGATGTATCTCAAAGCTGCATGATCTGTGTAGACAACAACCTTAGAGCCTACGAGGTATGATCTGAACTTCTCAAAGGCAAACACAACGGTCAGCAGCTCCTTCTCGGTTGTAGCGTACTTCACTTGCGTGTCGTCAAAGGTACGGCTGGCATAGTAGATAACATGCAACCGCTTGTCTTTTCTCTGACCAAGAACAGCACCTATGGCGTAGTCACTCGCATCGCACATGATTTCAAACGGTAGACTCCAGTCTGATGCTTGTACTATTGGCGCGGATACAAGAGCTTTTTTGATAGTCTTGAAAGCATGAAGACAATCCTCATCAAACACAAACTCAGCTTCTTTGCATAACAACTGTGTGAGGGGCCTTGCTATCTTGGAGAAATCTTTTATGAATCTCCTGTAGAAGCTTGTGTGACCTAGGAAACTCCTTATACCCTTGACATTAACCGGCGACTCAAGACTCATCATGACCTCAACCTTGGCTTTATCAACCTCTATGCCCTTCTCTGATATCTTGTGGCCAAGCACGATCCCTTCCTTCACCATGAAGTAGCACTTCTCCCAGTTAAGCACAAGGTTTGTCTCTTCACAACGCTTAAGTACCTTGCAAAGATTCAACAAACAAGCAGAAAAGGACGCACCATATACAGAGAAGTCATCCATAAACACTTCTACTATCTCTTTTATAAGATCAGAGAAGATCGACATCATCCACCGCTGAAACGTAGCCGGTGCATTACACAACCCGAATGGCATCCTTCGATAAGCGAAGGTACCATAAGGGCATGTAAAAGTCGTCTTCTCTTGATCGTTAGGATGGATTAGTATTTGAAAGAATCTACTATAACCATCAAGAAAGCAATAGTAAAGATGATTAGCAAGCCTCTCTAACATTTGATCAATAAAAAGAAAAGAAAAGTAATCTTTTTTAATAGCAAAATTGAGCTTCCTATAGTCTATACACATACAGTGACCAGTTATAGTCCTAATAGGTATCAATTCATCTTATTCATTTCTAATGACTCTCTACAAGAAAAATGGACATTCATAACACACCAAAAACGCTATCATATGGATATAATAGCGTTTTCATAAACGCTATGACAGCCAGAGCTATAATAGAACCACCCTATACTATAGCATTTTTTTATACGCTATTATATATCGTTTTATTATAGCGTTACTTCAATGTTCTAATATATAATATGATAGCTCATGTTTAATGTTGTAATATGTTGTTTTGTAGCACTGGTTTTTAGCTGTATTAGTTCTACTTATATCTCTTCAGTTATGCTACTATCGATTGTTTATGTGCTATAATATGTCAATATATTTGAACACTGTTTTGCAGCATATAATCAGTTAGATATATATATTACTTTATATTTGAAATTAAGTTCAAAAAATCATTTCATTAATCATCCAAATATGTCTTACACACATAATCATTAAGACATACATCATAGCAAAACAAATTTTACAAAGTATAACCTTCTCCTTTCCTTTCTTCTTGCTGATCATAAGGACAACCTTCTCCTTTACTTTCTTCTTGTTCCTCATATCTTGTTCCTCATATCTGTTACACCCATTCCAATTCTCATAAAAAACATAATTGAAAACAGAATCTTAAGTGCATATACTAAGTTCAGATTCACAATAGCTAGCCACAATCTTAACCAATTAGAGCTAACAACATGCTATAAATAGACCTAGCTTACAATTAGAGACCGTGGGAGATAGAGTAAGAAGAGGAGTTACCTTTGTGCTAGATTGAGATCCTTGAAATCATCCAAGGCGCCTGAGAAAGCCACGCAGAAAACCCCAGAATTCTCAATTCTATAAACGAATTATGCACAAATCAACAAAGACTTATCTCTTTGAATCGGATTATATTTGGATGCTTCAGTGCTCTGTGATTGAGTACAGCAAGAGTTAGCTTTTCTAGATAGGTCATGAACATATAGAACCGCGGTGGGTAGATGAGTGAGTACAAAAAGAGTTAGCTTCTCTAGATCATTCCTATCCTCTGTAAGAAAAAAAAACGATAGAAAACTAATCACATAACATAGAATAATGCACATCCACAAGAGAGTTTGTAAAAACTAGATTTTACCATCACGTCTCCTGAGAAGCCCAGGGATATATATGTCATCTGCTACAATGAAGTTTCTGGATACATTAACAATCCAAAATCATGAGTGTGATTAGAAGAAACAAAGCAAGTAACATTACCTGAAATCGTTGGTAGGTCAAAACGATGTGACCCATCAGAATTCTTCTGGTGGTGAAAGGATAATTGCAAATCTGAGAACCAAATAAAAAATCATAAGCAATACAAAAATGCAAAACTATGATCACGTATATGAAGATTGGGATGTAAGGCAAACCTCAGGCTTCCCTATTGAAAGAATGCGGACCAACAATGGTGCTCCGATAAGGCAAAGTGTTGGCATTTCCATGTCAACAACTGGCATAGCCCTCAAAAACTACAAATTGCTCTACTCTTTTCACACAGTTCTTCTGATGTTTAAAGTGAAAAGGTTCAAACCACTACAAGAGAAAAGCAAATGAGGAACCTTTTCTAAGCTTAACAAATCATCAACGACTCTTCCTTCTTGCTGGAAAACCAATTCAAGCTCTTCACACCTTCACTCAAGCAGTCCTCTGCTTCAAACGCTCACCAAATCTGAGCCATTTTGCTAGTGGGAACTTGCTTGTAAAGTGATTCGTAAAAAATCCTAAGTGGGTCTCTTTGCAGAATTACAAAACCAACAAGGCGAGTTCTTCAATCGATTTTGACACAGATCTAAAATTAGAGAAAAGGCAGTGAAAATTACCTCCTCATGCTGGTCTCTCTTCTGACCAGATTTAAGCTTATATCTGAAGAGCCACCCACTTCTTATGTGCCTCCTCCGCCGTTTAAACAATGACGCTATCTCCAACCATCGAAATCATGTGAGAGCAGGAGCGACCTTAGGAATTCCAAACCCTAACCCGAACTGTAACCTCCGTAAGAACCCTAGAAGAACCCCATGGATCGCTTAGATCGGCGAGGGAGAGAGAGAGACGAAAGGAAAGGTTTTTGGTTGTTTATTTTGGTGTATCGAAGACTTAAAAGAAAAAAAGATTTAATTTGTCAAAACCAGACAAAATTGGGATAGATTCCGCCAAACCCAAATTGTATCTCCATGAAAGAAGGAGCGAAGAAAGAACCAGAAACTAGGAGAAGAGAGAGAGACGAGGGCAGAGGAATGAATTGTGGGTTTTTTTTTCAAAGGGATATTGTTTTCATAAAGGAGAAAGAGAGGGGACAAAAAAAATTTGGGAAAAATTTTCCACCAAACCTAAAAAATTTCTAAGTATTTAGCGCTCACTAGTAAAAATTAGGCTCTAAAAATTAATTTTTACTTCTTTTTAATGAAATTTCGGATTAACATTTTAAAAATGCTATAAGAGAATACCCCACTCTAGCATATTCTCTTTAATAGCACTTAACAAAATTGTGCTATCCTAAAGTGCTATTAGTACTTATATTTCTTGTAGTGATCCCTCGCTTCTTGGACACCACGTGGACAGGAGATACCCACGTGCTATCTCTTATGGTATAGATCACATCAGCCTCTAACAATTTAAGAATCTCTTTTTTGACTATTTCTTTCAAGTTCGGATTTAAGCGCATTTGGTGTTCAATAGAAGAAGAGTTCTCATTATCTAAGTGAATCATATGAGTGCAAAGCATTGGTGAAAGGCCTTTGATGTCACTTAGAGAGTACCCAATGGCCTTCCTATACTTTCTCAGCTCATTTAGGAGCGAGTGCAACTCATCATCACTTAAGTTCTCATTCACAATCACGGGGTAGGTATCATTAAGTCCTAAGAAAGCATACCTTAGCCCTTTTGGGAGCTCCTTTAGGTCCACCTTTGGGGCTAGCAGCTCGCTCCAGTCATCCTCGTGGCTAGTGTTGGCGTTCCCGTCCTCAGTAGCCTCCTTAGAACCCGAGACATGAGCCTTAAGACTGCCTTCTTGAACCGTTTTCCCCTCAGAGATCGAGTCATCCAGTCGATCTTGCACTCGTTCTGGTCCGGATCGAGCAACTTCACTCGATTCACCTACTCGATTTGATGTGGATCGAGCAGGAGATCGAGTCCCTGACTCGTTCTCTGAACTGATCGATTGGCTTCTCTCGATCTTCTCATTGTTTTCTTCTCTGGATCAACCAGCCTTCTCGATCTTCTTGTCGATTGCTGTCTTGGATCGAGTGATATTCTCGATTTCCTGATCGATCTGTAGGCATCCGCCTTCAACTTCTTTGACAACTTTCCTAGAGTCGAGGAGATTAACGTACTCTTGAGTCTTCTTACTCAGAAAACCAAACTCCCCTGGCTCCTTAGTCAATGCCAGCCTCAAATGATCTTCTTGAGCCAGCTCTTCTAGCAGTTCATCCGCCAAAGCATCCAACGTCTCTATGTAGAATGCTTGTCCTTCAATGGCCAGCTTCTTCAGGACCTCGTTGATATCAAAATCCAGCTTAATATCTTTGCCAAGGTGTAGAGCTATCTACCCATTCTTGACATCAATGATTGCTCCGGCGGTTGCAAGGAATGGTCTACCAAGTATAAGTGGATCCTTAGGTTCTTCATCCATCTCAAGCACAACAAAGTCGGTTGGTACATTGACATCGCTTATTCTCACTGGAAGATCTTCTAGCATACCCACTGGAAGTCTCACGCTTCTGTCAGTTAACACAAAGGAGATCCTACACTTTTTGAACCGTGTGAAACCGAGCTTCTTTGCTATAGAATGGGGCATGAGATTTATACTTGCTCCGAAATCGCATAAACAGCTCTCAAACTTCAATGGACCCAAAGCACAAGGAATGGTGAAGGATCCTGGATCTCCTAGCTTCTTAGGCACTATTTCTCTGTGAATAATGGCACTACACTCTTCACTAAGCACCAAGACTTCTTTACTTTCCTTGTTCTTCTTTGTAAGGGTGTCTTTGAAGAACTTAGCACACTTCGGCATCATAGCTAGGCAATCCACAAGAGGCAACTTGATCTCAATGTCCTTTAGATGCTTCTCAAACAAGAGTCTATGCTTCTCTATCAGCTGTTTCTTGAAGCGGCCAGGAAAAGGAAGCTTAGGTACATACGGTGGAGGCACATAAACATCCTTCTCTTTAGTAGCTTGCTCCATTTTCTTCTCTACGGCTACCTTTTTACCCTTTCTTGGTCTCTCAATCCACACATTATCAAAGTTGATCTCTTCATCAGCTGAAAGCTTACCCTCCCCCTCTTGGACTACAATGTACTCATTGTTCATATGAGCAACACGCAGAGGAAGCTCTCTACCACTCCTCAAGGTGATAGTGTTTGCATACTCTTTCGGATTTTGCTCACACGTGCCCGGTAAGCTGTTCTGGCCGCTTGTACTAGCCTTTCCCTTCTCTAACTGCTTAATCTTGTTGTTCAGGTTTGTTATCTGAGTTGAGACGTTAATAAGAGAGGAGTCAAGGCGGTTGTTCATCTCGGCAAACTTCTGATTAGTTGAAGCTTGACCTTGAAGCAATTGCTGAAACATTGCTTGAACCGGATCTTGACGCTGTTGCATCTGTTGTTGTTGAGGAACAAAGCCGGGAGGAAACATAGGAGTGTAACCTTTGTTGCCTTGCTGTTGCTGCTGACCTTGAAAGTTCCCTTGCCTTTGCCCTTGAAAGCCACTATTCGGTTGAAAACCCTTGTTATAAGGTACAAAGGGCTTTGCTTGCTGAGGGGGGTAGACCTGATCTTTAGGGTTCTCTACATTCGTGCTCCTGTAAGAGAGATTGTTGTTCGCTTGGTAGCCTTGTGAATAACCCTGATTCTTGTTGTAGTTCTGACCAGCAATCCAGTTAGCTTCTTCTTGACTCAGCTCTAGTTCTTCGGAGACATCTTCAGCTTCTCCTATGAAGTGAACATGCTTCTGATTTGCAAGCACTAGATTGTCTATCTTCTCATGGAGGGACTTAAGCTCTTTCTTGTCAGACTCTAGATCAGCTCCTCTTAGTGCTCGGTCATAGTCCTCTGAATAATTCCCATCACTCAATGCCAAGTTCTCTATCAGCTCCATACCTTCTTCAACTTCTTGACAAAGGAAATTTTCCTTACTTGCCGTATCAAGCAACATTCTGATCTTGGGTAATGCTCCTCAGTATATTGTTCTTAGGAGAGTCTCTTCACTAAAGCCGTGGTGAGGACACTGAATGGTATAGTCTTTGAACCTCTCCATAGCTTCATTGAATGTCTCGTTCTGCCTTTGAGTGAAGCTATTGATCTCACTTCTCAACCGAGCTGTCCTGGTGCTTGGGAAAAACTTTGAGAGAAAAGCTTTCTTACATTCAGCCCAAGACGTGATGGTGCCCAGTGGAAGTGTCTTCTCTCAATGCCTAGCCTTGTCACCGAGAGAAAATGGGAAGAGCCGTAGCTTGAAGGCATCTTCCGAGATCCCATTGATCTTGATCATCCCACTCACATGTTCAAAGTTATCAAGGTGCTCTAAGGGGTCTTTCATAGCCAGCCCGTGGAATTTGCTATTCTGAACCATTGAGATGAATCCAGACTTTATCTCAAAATTGTTATTCTGGACTGGAGGAGGAGTGATCCCAAAGCGATTGTGATGCGTATTAGGAGCATCTTCAGCGCCTATGATCCGTGGGGGTCTAGCTGCGTGGATAATGATTCCATTGCCCCTTCCTACACCACCGTGAGCTGGTGGGGGTCCTTCAGGATGTTCCTGCTCAGCCATTGTTGCAAAGTTTACTGTACCGGCTTGAACACTCTCCTCAGAGGCTCTAGCTTGCTCTCTTGCTCTTCTTGTTCTTGAATGTCCGAGTTGGTGAATATTTTCCAGGGGTGTAAGTAAGTTGTTGTCACCCCTAGAAGGCAAATTCATGTACCTGAAAGACACAAGTGTGAAGAGAAAGAGATTAGTAACCAAACTTAAAGTAAAGGCTTAGTCTTTACTAAACCCCAAATATTAATGCTTCCTAGCAATCCTAAGATGGCAACAGCGCCATTTGATAACAGGTTTTTAACGTGCAGGCAAGGAGGTTATCAAAACTCAAGCAATCTAAAGTTTTAGTATAGCAAGAGGTATCAATCCAATCCTAGGGAGCAGGAAGAGCAATGAGAATACAAGGATCTAGTGAATCTAAGCAAATATGATAAATGATTGGTAAAATCTAACAAAACTAAATGCAACGATCTAATGCAATGAAAAACAATTTTAAAATCCCTGGAAGAGGGTTAACTACCACGAGGAACAAGCAAAAGATGAAAAATAAAAGCTACCAAAAACTAAAAATCGACCAGTGAATCGACCACAGGATCGAGCACTGGATCGAGCAGAATGGATCGATCTAACAAACAACTTCAAGCGAATGACTTCTAACGAACAGGATGCAAGCTAAATGACAGGCGAATGATGAACAGAGATTTAAAACACTAAAATAGAGGGTTTAGGGTCGAGATTCATATTCAAGGGTATCAAAGATTCATGCTTTGGTTTGAAAACATTTAGATCTACTCTTTTAAGAGGTTTCTCTAAGCCTTGAAAACAAAACAAGAACCATCTTTGGCGTGTGGTATGGTTCACTTCCTCAATCTCTTCTCCAAACCCATGGCGTTTGGTGGAAAAAGAGATCGAAGAGCAAGAAAGACAGATTTCAAACAATGACCTAACTAATTTACAACCATGGCATGTGGGAAAGGTAAGATTAGCCTCTAGGATCTGGTTTTCCAGGACATCTGAATCATGTCCAGGTACGACAGCCTTTGGTTCATAGAGACCTTTTCCAAGGCTCTCTAGTCTTTAAGATTCCAAGATCCTAGAAGAGAAAGTATGAAGAACAAGAAAACACAAAGCTTTTAACCCTTTCAACACTTTTGAATCACCTCAACCCCAAAACCCGAAACGACTACTCACTACACATGTTTACGATCAAATCAAAAGCAGTAAATGATAAGCTAAGCATGATTAACGACAGATTAAAGAAAACTTGCTTAATATTAAAAGATTCAAAGGTTCAAAAACGAAAAAAACTTAAGCTGTTCTACAATGGCGAATCGCCTAACTTAGAGAGAAAAAGGAAAAGACGGAATGAAGATAAGATAAAGGTGTTGGCTGTTTTTGCCAAAAATGGCTAAACCGTTAGCTGGTCCCCCCTTCGCTAGCCGCCAAGGACAGTTGGACAGATAAGCTCGTCTGGGATCGACCTTGAGATCGACCAATGTGCTCGATCATCTTCAGGAATAGCCTTGCTCCGCTCGATCTTCTGGTCGATTTGGCTGGAGGGATCGAGT